AAAGAATAAACACCTTCCACACACAGCAAAGCTTCAGCCATTCCAAAGCATCTAGAAAAAGCTATTTGTGGCAAAGCCACTTCAGTCACCTGTCCTACTCCAGGACCAAGCACTGACAGTCACTCAGGTCGTGTCAGCACCGACAGACGCAGCAGGTTCACACAGATCTACACAGACAGAAATTCTCCATTTCAGGAATTATGCTCCAGCAATTTTTGTTAAGCACATATGTTAGAAGAATTGAAATTTAAGTAAATTTTCACAGCCATTACTGTAAGAAAAATCTCTCAAGTTTTACATCTGTTTCAAGGCACAAAGGGGCTTCAAATATTTCAGATTCAGTGGCTGCAAGATATTATAATGATGCATTGGCATGCAACATTTTAGTAGGAAATTGCTATATTTTGACAAACCGAAAACATTCTCACACATCTAAATATTTGGCAATCCTAGCAGCAAGCAGTTAGTCCTGCTGGACATGTGTGTGCATGGCAGAAAACAGCTTCTGCAACACTGCCATTCAAAAGACACAGGAAACATCATTTTTCCCATCAGCTTTCCAAACAGTTGGAAACACCAACTATCCAACTGATAGTTGGAACACCAACTATCTCCTACAACTGCTCAAGTTTTAGATCAATGTTTTGGATAATAAAAAGACAGATAACCAAACAATGACCCTCAGTTAAATAGCTGAAGGTTTCCCAAAATCCTGGAAAGGGCATGCAAAATTTAACACCTGGCCTGCTAAATTCGGACACTGCACCTACACAGATGTTTCCCTAACTTCATATTCCCAAAATTCTTGCAAATATCACAGCAAAAGAAAATGACTGCTATTGCAATTAAACAAACTACAGCTACCATGTACCATTAATACTTATCAGAAAATCCTACTTTCTGCAAAACCATCTCTACATTTCTAGCACATTCCCAGGACAGCATTCCACCAGAAAACAGTTGGAAAAAGAACGGAAAAAAAACAAGTGACAGTTCTCCATTCCCAGCAACACAACCAGCTTCACTGCAGAGAGAATGGGCCATTATGGGCTCTGAGGCACCCAGCCCTTACACAGGTAAGCTAGCCAACCTCAGAGTGCTGCAAAGGAGTCTCAAACTCCTGAGCTAATATACTTTGGCATGGGAAGCAGGGGCTGCATTCCAGACCATGTGGAGAGGAGAAATTGCCTGATGCACTTTCATACAGTGAAGCCCAAAATATCCACCACTAGTGAAACACTGAAATTAGAATCAATGAAATTTCCAGCAAGTCTGAACAGAGCTCCAGCTCCTGCAAGGAACAATTTAGATCTGCATCAGTTACCTGGGAAGAAGTGATTATTCCTGCATTTGGACTAGGCTATAAAAAACAAGTTCAAGGACAAAGAATTCACTGGTCCTAGCTATAGAAACTGGAGATATCAATAAGAATTTCATACTGATGTTTTAAAATACTTGTTCTTTTACCCAGCTAATTACAGTATGATTATCTTTAAATAAAGTTGAAAAAAATACACACAAAAAGTGCTGTCTGAGGCGTGGCTGAAATGCCTAGGTGACATTTTGTAGAAATCAAGTTATTTTCCACAGTATGTTTATCTTTAAATAAAGTTGAAAAAATACACACAAAAAGTGCTGTCTGAAGCGTGGCTGAAATGCCTAGGTGACATTTTGTAGAAATCAAGTTATTTTCCATCTATCTTGAGAAGGCTGCACACATATTTTCAGCTTTTCAGATGAAAGCTTTTATGCTTGTTTCCAAAACACGATTAAGTTCCTTAAGATCTGTATGACATATTCAGTTTAAAGTCTGCAATTTTTTTCGGTGCACTAAGATTATCTGCTAGAAGAACCTAAAACCTAAAAACAACTGCAGAAATTAAACAGACTTGGAAGTTTACTGCCGAGTTTAAAAAAACCCAAGATTTTAGTGCCTTGATAACATCCCTTCTTGCAAGCCTAGTAATTTTATATTTAACCTCAAATAATATGCTAATTATGCTGCACAACAATTCAAGTTCTCTTGTTCCAACATCTTCAGGACAGACTTTACGAACTAGCTCTTTACTGAATTATCACAATGTATTTTCTTTATTCAATTAGTAGATTCTTCTTTATTTGTGGCAATTTCTTTATCCAATATATCAACTGTTGCTTGAACACAAGAAAACAAACAAAAAAAACTCACAGAAAATTTTCACTTTGTCACTGTTTGTGGCAGAGGAGAACCATGACTAACAAGAAAAGGGACCAAGCCTCAAAGTTGCCTTACAACATATTATTGTATTGCAGAAGGAGGTTGTATTATGAGGTAACACCAGTTCTCATGAACTACCCTGAACCTTGGCAGCCACACACTATCACATGTTCTGCAGTGGAGACTACAGACAAACAACAGATCATGAGCAACCGGGACTTAGCACAATAGTTAATAATGATTTACTTGTAATATCTTGGAGGTAATAGTATCCAGGAATCTAATTTACTGGCAGAAAAATCAAGTTTTTCCTTCTTTCACCATGCCCACAGAGGGTTACACAGTGCCGAGGCACTGCAGTGCAAAACCAACTGAGAGGCAAGCACAAACATTTCTCCCTCACTGATGTTTCCCTCTCAGTTTTACTGATATGCCAGTACACCACATTCAAGAATTCTAACAGGCCATTAGAAACTGTACAGTGAGAAATCCTCAATTTTGAACTCTCTTGCTTTTGAGAATGGAGTCTGTATTGAAACATCTCCCTGTGACAGAGACAATTAAAAAAATAATTAAGGTAAAGTGGATTAAATCCTGTATGTACATACATAAACACAGTGGCAGAGAGAACACGAAATACCTCTGCTTTCATTATGTGATATGTAAATGCCAATGCACAGCTACTTTTTTTTGGACATACAGCAGATTCTATGAATTCTATTAGAATACATCTGAATGCACCAAGTGATTTTCCTCAGTTGCCTACTCAATGGGGACAAAGAGAGCATTATCTGCAGGTGACAGGAGGGACAATATAAAAGCTGGGGCAGTAAGGATGTCGTTCATTAAGGGAAGAACTAAAGAATTCATTAAGGTGCACTGTGAGGCAGGCAGCCTTGTAAGTATTCTCTGATGTGCCAATAATGTCATAACAAATACCTAAGTAAGCTAATTAAGTAGTTTTCCCTCACATTAACATTGGTTTTAGTGTCATTCAAGCTGTGGTCATTTACAATTTCAGAAACATCCTTGATCCCCTCTACAAATCACACAAGCCTGGTACCCAAACACTGTTCTGAGGGTGTCTCGACATCCTCCAACAACTTAGAGCAACATTCTAGCAAGAACACTGGAAACCAAAGCAGTTTATTTGTCTTGATAACACAACATAGTTATTTACCTTAACAGTGTGACAGGCAGCCACTCTTCTTAGAACATGCTATACTACTACATATCATTCATTTTCCAGGCAATTTTTAAAATGCATTTTTAAAACTGGTGAGCCCCACATTTAAACTCATATTGTCAAAGTAATCTACCAAATCATTTCCTCCACCAGCAGCATGAAGACAGTACATTGTGACACCTCATACATATTTAATAATAGCCTGATAGGCTGTCATTAACATCAAACAGCAATCTAAGTTTGCTACATTAAACATGATCCCTGTGTTAAGAGGACAATCACAAAGTGCCTCCAAGATCGAGCCTGTAAGAAATACCCACCGACTTGAACAAGGTGTAATGAGGCCAACTGCACTGGAAAAGCCACACATTGGATTTTAAATTAAATAATAAAAAAAAGCAAGGGGAAAAAAGAAAAAGCTTCAGTGGGTCATAAGACCAGACATGCCATAAGGCAATCTGTCACAGAGTACTCATATTAGTAACTGTTGTGTCAAAACTGAACATTCAAAAGAAAAGACAAACCTCCCTTTATGTTTTATGAAATGTAAGCCCACAGAATTAATAATTCATGAGATGAAGAAAAATATCACATTTGGCTATAAATATTAACAGACGCTGTCAACCTGCTTAGAACTAAATTTTGACTGTCCTACCTCACAATTATCAATTTAGAAAGGAATATTCTTCAAAAGCTAAAAAAAAAAAAAATCAGCATGAAAGTCACTAATGAAGAAATTAACATTCTCTATTCATGTAGGTCCCAAGCAAAACAGCCCAACTGTGTTCTGCGCCTGGTGCTGCTGAGTGAACACTAATTGACTGGCATTGTTTGTGCCCACAGTGGTGTTGTGCTGTGTTGACAGCAATAATGCTGGTGTGCACACAAGGAAAAATGCTAAAAGGACATACTAGACCCAAGACACAGTGGAATAAAGGAGTGGAACAAGAGGAAGTAGTTGTCAAATGACAAAGAAACATTAAAAAAGGCAGTTAAAACTTCACAGAAGTTTTAGAATACAGAACTTCATACAATGGGTCTTGGATAAATTTTACTGATTAGCTAAACAGGCATTTAAATATGACCAAAAAAAACCAATTAACCCAGAATGCACAACCACATATCAGTAAACTCACTTCATGTGATCTCAAAGAAATATTAAATATATTTTTAGCAGTTCGGCTTCAAGATCTAGAAGACACTTCTGCTGTATGGTCACAGTTCTCTGCTTTCACTGCTATTATTGAGAATAGAATATTGGAACACAAAACACAATTGTGCCAAAATATCCAGAATGCCATTAAAATGGATTGTTCTAAATGGTGACAGTGCTTTTCCTTACAGGCTTTTTTTCCTCTCCCCAGTGCTAATATAACTTCAGTCTATTTATGGCCCCATCTCCATTTACATTCTGAGCAAATGGTAAAAATACTTACATAAGAATCAATAATGGCATGCACTAAAAAAAAGAAAAAAATCAGACTAAACACCTTACTAAACACCTTACTTTTATCTACAGATTCTGATATTTTCACTGCATTTCACCCAGTGATGATCACAAAGAAAAAAAAGTTGAACATTACAAGCTCTTATTTTTTTAAAAAAGTTAATTCCTACCTTTATCATTCTAGAGAGATCTCCAGCATCTGCTAATTCCAACACTATGTTCAGTTCATTGTCTTCAATGAAGGAGGCATAATATTTAATTACATTGGGATGATTCAGTTGCTAAGAAAGCAAAATAGTAATTCACATATTATTGTACACCACATGTTTTAAGACTAACATAAGAAGCATTCTTATTTAGGCAAACAATAAAACCCCTAAATTCTACTTCATTATGATACAAATTAGAAGAAGTAGATGCTGATAAGAAGCATTTACAAATACTTTGCAAGAACAGGATGGCATTTTAGCATCTATGTGGTGACTGAAACCACAGCTTTAGAGGAATTTTGCTTCAATGTATATATCCAATAGCATGCTAAACTTATCTGGAACAGCGAAGTCGATTTCTGAAGTAAACAGCAAAATCAATTTTTGAAGTCAGGATTTACTGTACAAAAGACACAATATTTAAATTTTGGCAGAAACTTTTACTAGAAGTTACTCATTATTCTATCAGATTTACTTCTCAATGTTAACTTCTAAAGTAATAAGGATCATAAAATTCTTCAAAGTGAAGTATTTAAAAACTCTACACAAAGAAACAGTGGACACCTCAATTATGTCTATGAAAAACATACCACATATTTTGATGACTGTTGCACATTTTCTAAACAAATCTTTTACCTTAAGAAGATCTATTTCTTTGATGCAGTCAGCACGGGCTTTGGCATCCATTAAATCAAATATCTGTGCACAAGAGATAAAACATTTTTATTAAGTGGTAAAAATACACTAAATTGAGTAATCGTTATCATTATTTCACAGCATCAATAAAGCAACCTGAATTATGCATTTCATGGCCAAGATGTAATATTACAGGAAGAAATATTTCTAATGCTCTGATGCACTGATTTAGTGCTGTGGCCATTCTTTTAGCCCCCTCATAGGAAAAAAATCCATTTTAAGTACAAGCTTCCCAATTACTTAATTGCCACCTCTGCATATCTGTTCCAACACACAGCAATAATTTAGCAGCCTTATAAATGCTTCAAATCTCAGGTTCCTATCCCATTCTGCCACAACTTTTTCACAAACTGATTCCTTAGTACTGAGCAGACCTTTTTTCCCCTTTAGTCTTACTACCATCTTCAATTCTAAATAATGCATATTATTTTACTCTTGGGATCAAAACTTCATCTCCAACTCCCTCTCTCCTATTTTCTTCCCTTCAGCTAGCAAAGGAATTACTTGGGTTATGCTCTTTGTTTATTAGAGCCCTTTTCTCTAAGCCCCCATCTGTCACCTTGATTTTTATAAGCTTTTACAGTTGGACATCTCTGCTCTTCTTTTTTTTCCCCCCACTTCCTAACTACTCCAAATTATTTTGCAATCTGTCTCATTTTTGTCTTCTCCAGTTAGCCTGGAGAATTACTCTTCACTAATTTCAATTTTTGTTTGAAGTACTTTTTTCTACCATTAGAGTCTTTATCCAAATTCTGCACATCTGTATTTAATGTAATGTCTATTTTCACTCCCTTTTTCACCACCTCTGGGTTTTCACTTCAGTAATGTGCACCTCCATACACTATTTCCCTTAAAAATTACCAAAATGCTACTTCCTCTAAGAATCCTTCCTCTCTCATTTGTGATTAATTTCTGAATTTAACAAAACAAAAAAATAATCTCCAACTTCTTTGCTACAGTCATAGGGTGTCTAATGATTTTTCTAGGAAACATTTTAGAAAATCCTAAATACTACAGGTAGTATATTAACTGAGGAAATACTGAGAAGGCATGAAATCAAATATTTTTTTCTTATAACCTGAGAGACCAGAAAATGGAAAAATTTATACAGCATCTCCCAAAAACAACCAATGAAACTGTACCAGGAAGCAAGGGAAAAAAGGGAACAGGTACAAGAGAGCATCTTGAGGGTTCAATTTTTCTGAGTTCTAGACAACAGTCAGCTAAGTTCATTCCTTAAAAGTGATACAGAGATTCAACTCCAAACACCCTGGAAAACCTAACCAAAGCCCAGGGCAGAACTTCAGACTAAAAACTGTACACAAATCATCTCCTTGTAAGATTGGGAAAATGACCAGAAACAGTTTCAAGATTCAAACCAAATGAGCTTCATCGTGTGACAAAACAGGGCAGCTGACACTTGTTCATGTGTGTTCCAATATGCCAAGAGGCACACTAATTTACCTATTCCAGGAACAATTCCCTACACACCTAAGCAAACAGGTTTTCCAAGAAAAGTTTTTTTACAAGCTATGCCTCTGCTAGGGATATAAATCAGTACATCTCATAGAGCAATAACAAAACCACAAAAACAAAACCCTAGACTCAGGCCTGTGAAACATCTAGAATCAAGGAAAGAAAGACAAAATTTTGTGTATTCTGGATAGTACTGCCAGTACTTCTAATTTGTTATTAAACAGCATGGAATAGACTAGACCAAGCAGCTGCTCTCCCCAAAGGACAGACTTAAGTTTTATAAACATGACTCCCTCTACTTGTGCTGCACTTCATAAGCATCTTTGCAAATTTGTCACAGTTTCAGCTAAACTGAGTATTTTAGAAATTACCTAAATTAAATATAGCAAGGCAGTAAAAATAAGTCTTATCTGATCTGTACAACCACAAATACAAACAATCTTAACATTTACTGTTTAGCATTCTTGTGGTTCTCAGATTTTGATCTAGATGTAACCTCAGAAGACTACAAACAGCATTTCCCAGAAATCCAGAAATTCAGTTGCACAGACATTAACGTCCTCCTCCAAGATCTGTAAAAAAAACCCAAAAAACTAAAAAAAGGTGAAAAATATCATTCAAACCATGGCCTATGAAGAACCTCTAAATCACACCAGATGCAAAGAGCTTTCAGAGATTTTCTCTCTGAATAGACGATCTTTTGCCAAACTGCTGCAGTTCAGACCAGAGGATGCCAGTGTACCAAGCCATGCCAGCTCACACAAGGAGCTCACTCTAAACACAAGGATGTTCCTCACCAGCAGATGACTCAACACTGAAGAACGTCCTACCCTGTGAAATGGAAGTGGCAATGAAAGACTTGAAGAACATCCTTTCAAGTGCATGTCAGCATTGCACAGGGCAGCCAGCAGCACTCTGAGGTCTGCTCAGCAGGAGAGGCTGCCCTTTGCCCGTGGTTCGCTGCAGACTGGCCATCAGTGCAACACCATGGAGGGATGGCAGTACTTCCACCACCACTGGAACACTTTACAGCTTTGTGGGCAGATTCATTCCACCTTCAGCTCCTGTGACTCAGCAAGCCCAGCTGAAAGGTCAGCATGAGTGCTGCACACAGAACTCCCTCACACACTCAACTTTCACTGCACAGACAGCACCCCATGGCCATCAGCAGGCCACAGGTCCCACCCACCCCAGACACACACTGCCAAAGGACTTGCAGCCTTCTGTCCAGCCCTCCCTGGGACTGCACTCGTTTTCTGAGCTTGGTTTTAGCTGTAGCAGCACATGCCCTGCAGCTGAGTGACTGCATTGTAAGTCATTGCAGACTTGTGTCTAACCTGGTTTTAGATCCAGCTCAGCTCTGTGCAACTGCACAGCCTGGAAGAAATTGCAGCAGATACAAGAAAAGTCTAGAAAACTTTGGATTTTTGGCTAGGCTTGAACAATAAGCTTTTGGATCAATACAAACTGACTGCTTGAAATCAGACCCAACAAAGTCTCCCATAAAGACACTACCAGCATCCTCCTCCCAGCAGAGCTCAGGTCACTGATGATGCTCCACACACTGGTTATTGGAAACTAGCAGTAATTAGACAAGTGTTATCATCACTGTAACTGGCTAACCATAAAAACTGCTGTATTTAGATTAGACTCCTAGGGTATTCATCAGACTAGCAATAATTCAAATTCTTGACTCCACTTATGAGATCAGGATCACAGGGTAATTCAGTTTGGAGGTAAGCTTCTCTAGTTAGCACCAATTCCACTCAGCAAAAACTGCAGTGTTATATATTCTTATTTAAACTTTTAATTCTTTCCCCCAATTTCTATTTTCAAGGACTATAACAAGATGAATATTTCCAAAAATGAATTCTGATTGTATTAAAAAACCTCATCAGCAGAAAACAATAGAGTAAATATTTTTATGATGTGACAGTTTTCATAAAGAGTGTAATGAAAAAGTCTAATAGTGGTAAGCTTTTTACCTTAGTTAGCAATTGCTGTGAAACTCCTTAAAACAATTAGACAAATACAGCTGAAGACATTTAAAGGAGCATTTTAAAAGCCCTTAGCAGGTTTTTTTCCCACTTAGCAAGGACACTGAGTGAAATAAACCTTTTTAGCTCTCAGTTTTTCATCCTGCAATCACCTGTGTACAAAGGGAGAGTAGAAAGACAAAGATATATATTGATAGTTATCACACTTCTGTCTGCTATGCAACTAAGGGATCTCTGGTAACTTTGCACTCAATCTCTTCTCTAGTACCTTCATGTGAGCATAGATTATAGCCTTTTTCTTTTAGCATTCCAGAAATGTCAGTTATAAGTACTGTCAAGAGATACTGGTATTTTTAGAATACTTTCTAGCTGTTATAAGCTTCAGAGCGGGAACTGTTCCTATGCAGATGTGTAAACTAAACAAATGAGTTGCAATACTTGAGTTTAACTTCCTGAGTCAAGTTCTTAAATACACATTCCCAGAAAGCTATGGGCATAGCAAAAAGGTTTAGAACCACATGGAACCACCTGATGGAGAACATCAAGGCCTAGCTTCTAAGTTCAAACTGTATCTGATCAATTACCAGATACCAACCAAATCCATCATCTGAAGTGAAACGCCAAGTTGGGAATCCATCTGATTCCACTTGCTCTAGACCATCACTTTTCCTTTTCATAATTTCAGCATTGAAAAGGATAAATTTAAATTATAAACCTATGTCTGTTCTGTTCAAAATTCTGTATACAATAAAAATACTAAAAAGCATTTCTAAACCAAATCCCAAGTATGACTGCTGTAACATAAACCTTCAGAGAAGGAAGCAAAATAAAGACCCAAATGCACATAAATATTAAGAGATACAATACTGAACAGCAACAAGCATTAGAGTATTTTGCCACCACAGCACTGCTGTGCTGAGACAATAGTGCTTCATAAAGTGTGAAATTACAAGTGCTTTTCTAAGATTAATTAACTGTAATTCAGGCCTGAAGTAGCAATCCACTGACAATGTACAATGAATAATGAATGTACATCCTAGATAAAAGGATTCATTGTCTGAATCTCTAACGTGGGGCCTCCAATTTTGGAATTAAAGGAAAAGAAAGATGGAACAATGTAAGGCAGAAATGCAATTAATCTGAAATTTTCTTGAAATATGCAGCTTTAGATACTTGAAATTTTGAGTAGCTGAGGTTTCCTTAAAAAACAGCTCCTAAAGTGAACTCATCCAGCCTTACAGTCACTGACTTAGATATTTACCACTCCTTTGTCATTTAAAGATGATTTGTGACCAGTAATTGCTTACTTTTCCCTTGGAGAGGTCCTTGCTCAGAACACTGCACTGTACCCCACGTATTCTGCTGCAGGGGTTACCCAGAGCTGCAGGAGCTGAGAGGCACTGCTGCTTCCCTAGGCAACATCTGCAGCACAGTTTGGATCTGAGACTTAGCACCTGTTAAGAAACTTACCTAGAAACGTTTCCATTTACACTGCTATGGTCATAGCTTACTCGGGGCTGATGTTTTCGGATGTTTCTTTAACTCAAAATATAGTTTAGACATTTGTAAAAGTTCAGTAGGGAAGATATGTTTTTATTTCTGTTTTCATTTCTGTTTTTATTTTAACAGCATCTCAGAAAAATAGTTCCATGCTAGAAATAATGATTACCTTCCTAATTACAAAAACACAAATCAGATATGGGAGGATGAAGCACAAAGAGTACAACAGGAAGAAAAGACACAACATACCATTTTGTTAATTCTGCTGGTTAAGTTACTATTAAAAAACCTGAAACAGTTCTCATTGTGCTACATACCCTAATAAAAAACAAATCAAGAATACTACTTCTTTCTGTCATCTGGACTCAGCAGCAACTACAAATTCAGGAAGAGTGGTTTCTGTCACCATCTGCTTGTCCTTTCTCCCGCAGCATCTTACTGCTACTTGCTTCTGTTCACATTTTATTCCACAAACATACATTTTGTACACATTAATATAACATTTATCAATATTGTACGTATTTCAGCCAAATAAAATTTTATTAGCAAAAAATAAACATTCTTGTTGGAAAGCTTCATAAAAACTCAAAACTGGCAATCCTTTTGGAACAAGTAACAGCCTGAGATCCTGCAACTCCAGGAGAGGATAACTGAAGGATTCTAAGCCCCATAAGCCCTTGACAGTAGAGACACACATGGGGTATCATTACCAAATACACATAAAAGAAACAAGTACACACCTAACCCAGCCAGGAAAATGAAATGGGGAGGGGATGGCACGGACATGACTTGCAAGATTGGAGAGGAAGGAGGGCATGTAAGATGTGAGATGACATGAGAATGGGCAGATAGTGGAAAAGTGGAAGTTCACATCTCAGATATGTTACTTAACACATTGTAGAGCATTTAGAGACACTGTCTTATGTAGAGTGAAATCCACGCACAGGTGTAAATAAAATAGAAAGAATAAAGCCCCTCTCATAACTGAAAGAAGCATTTCTCCTGTTTTGTCCATGCTGAGCTTCCATTAAAAAGGCATCAGAAAAAAAGGAGTATTTTAATTTCAATAAAATCAAACATGACTGAAATCAAAAGGAGAAGCACTATCATAGAACAGACCCATTTTCCAGCTCCTCTGAAAAGTAATTGCTTCTCAATAAAAGACATCTATGAAAATAAATTCTATAGTGAAATTAAGTATTGTGACTATATTTACCAAAAATATTTCTAGGCAATCTTAGGAGAGGTCACAGGACCACAGTAACAATTAAGATAGTATTCTGTCCAAAAAGAACAGCTTTACATGTCAACTGTGCAAGCTGGAATGGCTGTGCCCAGAACCCTGCACTGCCATGAGCCCTCTGAGCTGTCATTATACGCTGAGGAAGATTTTCCCCTCCCAGGTTAAGCAAGTCTCACTTTCCATTCAGATAGCAGTGTCCTACACACATCCAGCCTCCACAAGGAAAGTGACTTCACACACAACACAGCCCCTCCTCATGTGCCCTAGGCAATAATTTCTACTGGAAAACCAACAACCTATGTTGGACACTTAAAGACAATTAAAACCCTGTCAAAATAAAGCCATTTGGGAAAGGCATAACTTTTTAACACTATTTCCCACCAACAACTAAGTATATTCTTAGAAAATTATTAAAGGATTAAATGAAAATTAAGTAGGAAAGCTGTTCTGCTGTAGAAACCATCACCTGCATAAGGACAGTATGATGTCATCTTCAGACATCCAAAAAATCTTCTGTCAAATTGGGAAGTCTGCTGTGAGAATACAGCTGCACATACTGACTTCTGAAATGCTGTTAGGAGTACACATGCTAAAATGCCTCTGTATTCTTAATGCAAGCACTGTTATAAAAATTTCATGGTTGGACTTTTATGACTTTCTTCAAGTACCCAGGCATTCCACATGCACCTTAATTGACATGCATTTCAAGTCACATTTGACCTTTTTGGTTTCTCACACGCTGAAAATGAAGGAAGAATTATCCTAATGTTTTAAGACTGTTGATCAAAGTTCTTAGAATATATTTCAGCTTTTGAAGTACTATATATCTGGCAGTTTTCCCAGAAGGGGGAACCAAGACTCCTTTTTTATGACTGCCAGGACTAGCCCTGCCTCTTGGTGCTGCAGCACACAGGAAATCACAGAAACAGAACAGCAAGTCAAGATATGACAGAAATTTACAGTGCATGCATTTAACACAGCAAAACCAAAACTACTAAAATGCAGAAACTCTAGAAAACAATCTACAGAATATTACACATATTGTCTTGCAGTCTCTATAAAGGCAAAAATACCCTTTCAGATCTGATGGCAGTACTCCTTCAAGTATTACACTAAACTTACCTCAAGATCAAAAGTGAAATACCAATTTAAGTTTTGATTTCAAAATTAAACACAATGTCAGAGAACGTTCACAGTAAATCCACAGGGTAATGGTCTTACCACTAACATCTCTGAGCAACTCCAAACAAAAAGACAGAATGAAAATGAGACTAGATAGAGGCATAGCTCGAACTGTCTTTTGCCTGTGTGACAGTGGAAATGTTTCAGTCTGAAAAGCTGTTTCCATTTAAACTGCTGCTTTTGATTTAAACATTTTAAAAATTGCTATGTGCTAAGACAAAGTATCTGAACAAATAATTAGTCCATTTCTTATGTTAAAATTGACAAGGGTTGGGCTTAATGCTTCTTGGCCATAGTAACTTAATTAGTCTGCTGCTCTTCCATCTTCTGTGACAACTGCTGTTTCACTACTGGCTAAACCATGAAACTTGGAAAGTCAGGCTCCTTGAGAAAAATTTTTGACCAATGCAATTTACTTAGATCCACAGTGCACTTGCATTTAATTACCATGCAGAGTCCCACACACAGATGTATTATTCATGAGGATGATCATATGAACTGAGCTGTATCCCAAAATCTGAACGAAATTCTGAGCAACAGATTCAAGCACAGTTTTGGTTTGTATTTGTCTCAAGTAGTTTCCAGGCTTTTGAAACAGTAACTCCCCTCCTTTTCACTATTACAATTTTCATTACATACAGACATTATTTGATGTAGATGTTCATTCAATAAAAAAATGCTTGGATTTGCACAATATATTTTCACATTAGACACCACTAAATATTCATGTTATTTCTAGATTCCAAGTTTTGGTTAGGAAATACAGCTCATTAATATGTGTTATCTTTTTCAGCAACTCTGGACTTTACTTTCAATTTCAAAACACTGGTTTGTGGGATATTATATGAAGTCACACATGAATCTTCAAACTTCGTCATTCCCTGCTATCTCTAAACATTTAAAAATTCATTGAAATCACATCAGAATTCCACATTCCTTTCAAATTTAACTGTACCAATCCTTTTAATATTTATACAAAATTATCCTTACCTGAACCTTCTTCAGAGCCACTGGTACCCCATCCAGCAGGCAGGTTGCTCTGTAAACTTCACTGAACTGCCCACGGCCAATCTTCTTCTCTATTCGGAAATTGGCAAGGGTATTGTAGCCCATGTCAGGTCGTAAGGCTTTCTAGAATCAGAGATATTGCAAAGACAGTTTGCATTTAAGACTTAAATCAGTAAGACTAATCACGCCAGTGTAAAGATACCTATGAAGGAATATGGTTTAAACTATAAAAATTCCTTCATTCCAATGCATTAAAACCAAAACTGTTCCAGACTAATCACAAGATAGTCTAAAGAAAACATTCACTGTACCATTTGTGGAGTGAGAATTGAAAATTATAAATTCTTGAGTGTATTTAGAATATTTTTAGCTTATCAGAAGTCTGAAACACAGAAGAGCAGAAATCCTACCAGGCTTAAATTTGCCATGGTTCCTATGCCCTAGCTCCTGCCATCCAAAAATAATAAAAAAAACCCCTACCCAAACCCATAATAAAGGATCAGCTCATACGACAGTATTTTAATGTCCCTCTTTCAGTGGCTATGCAGTATATTTTTATATATCCTTCTGTTGCTCCAGAAATCAAAATATGAGAACTCTCGTTTTGACAAAAGTGGTGCAGCATTAATGGTCCAGTGCATCCCAAAGCGCAGGACCCAGCTTAATGAGGTAGTTATAGGCCTTTTAGGGAAAATGTCTGAAATTACACTTCAAGATTTTAAATTCTCGACACAGAGCTGCAAGATACAGACTCTCTAAATAGGCTGTGTTTAAGAAGTATTGTGTACTTCCCATTAGAATTGGGAGTTGAAGCCTCTGCACAGCAACTTGACAAATATTATGGTGAACTACTAAGGCAGTGTGACAACCGCATGCTGAGAGCAAAGTCTCACTAATGTGTTTTGGCATGCAGGTTTGTAATCACACATTTACATATGCAATGACCTACATTTGCATGTCAGATCACACACTGTCTTGCTTTATTAAGACCGGGCACCTCCCTGTGCTTGGCGGCCAGAGTGGCGAGAGAGGGCCAGAGGGCCGTGTTTTTTGGCAGTTGAGGGATGAACTGCCACCAAGGATTAGGCTGATATGGCCTGAGCATTAGACACTTCATTAGAGGTAATCTGTTTAACAGTGGGCAGTGTATGTAAACTTCACAGCCCATTTGCGGCACCTTTTCCCCCCCATGGCCCTTCTTCAAAGGGCAGCGTGGCTGAGTGACAGCTTGTCTCATCTGCTCCCTTGTCCTGTCACACAATTTAGATGTGGAGATCTGACATGAGAAGCAACATAGCTGCACATCTCCAGCTACCACTGGGTCTCTCCTCACCACAATGCAATTTGTGGGGAATAAGCTTGTGCAGGATAAAGATTTCCTTCAGTCTGAGACCATAACGGAACAGATTATATACACTTCACTAATGATCACATTACATTGCACTGCCAAATAAATCAGTGAGACTCAGAATATTATGGCTTCCATGGAAGAGATATCTAACAGCATTAAACTAACCAGAGTGGCTCCCTTTATTCAAATTTATTTTTTTAAACTTCTGGCCAAACAATGTATTAAAACTGAAAGAATGTTATTCTTTTTCCTGCCTGAACAGACTCCTGTAAATTTCAGATCTCAGCCATACATTCAGTTGTAATCCTGCACAGAGAAGAAATGTGGGGAGAGGAAAGAGAAGTTTAAACATTCCTACTAGTGAAAAGACAATCATAATGTACTAATTAATTATTCATGGCATTAGAGCTCATTTATACAAGAAGTAAACAGAGACAATCTTTAACAGAAATCATCATATTCCTTTTCAGACTTGTCTCAGTCCCAGAAAACAGCTGATAGACAATTTAGCAGAGGATTGCCAGGAAAGGAAAGCATCCACAGGAAGGCCACAGAAGTTAGTACAAGGTTTACACAGTTAACTTCTAAAAATATGCCAGACAATAGCTGTCACTTTAGCCAGAGCTCTCAAGAGATGTTCTATTTCACTCATTCTCCAAAACTTTCTATTTGCACTCAGTTCCCATTAGCTTTGAGATTTACATTTTCAAAAGCATTTTGTGTCCCATAAAATATCAGTGAACTTCAGTACTGACCTAGACAGGCACAAAAAAAGACAGTATGTTTCTCACATCTGTTAAGACAACACTGAAGAAACCAACTAAGACTTTATTGACCAAAATACCCCAGTGTACATATCAGTGAGCCCAGCACACATCAGTTTCTCCAGTGAGCAAGACTTCACAGGAAGTCCTTGTACTCTCCCAGTGCAACCTCCCCAGTATTGGCAAAAGCACACAAGTTGGATTGAAACAATATAGAGATCCCAATAAACAGTTAAGAGTGGAGTCAAGACAGTATTTTCCTAACTGAGCTTTTCTGTTGAAGAAATCACACCACACGTTTCTAAAAATGTTAAGCCAGGTTCCTTCAGTGAGGATTCCTAACCTATAAAACTAAGCTCACTCAGGTTGAGAGAGAACATTAAGCAGACTAACAGCCAACTCCATTATGAGAAACAGCAGCAGAGAAGTTATTTTCTTGGAGAAGTTACCAGTGAAATCCCAAAGGAAACTGCACTATCCAATGCATATAATGCTGCAATAAAGTTTCTTTAGATTCCCAATTTATCCAGAAAACCAGCTGAAAACATGGCTGCAAAGCCTTGCAGAAGATTCCCTTAGATTTTCACCCTGGTACTCAATACTAGCACCTCAAGGTTACCAATCCAAAACTTAATGGAAAATACCACCCTAAAGACTGTGAATCATTGCTCTTACATTAGCTATTACCACACAGGAAAGAGATTTACACAACACCATGGAAAAACTTACATGAAAAGTTAAACTGATTGGTCAGTTACCACCAAAAAGCAAGTCAGACACCTTTAGGAAAAGCAATTGAATGAAAGAGACAACAAAATGTTTCACTACTTAAGTCCATTGTGTGTACACTGAATACTGCACAGTGCTCCAGAATACAGGCAAACAAGGAAACTGAGCAGAATAGCAATGCTGAGCAGAGACATGCTTCCATGTAAGAACAAACTCAATAAACCACTGTTCTTCAGCTTTGGGAATGCCAAAACAAACAAACCCCCAAAAATAAGGGATGTATATGCTGCTTTCAGTTTGTTTTTTCAGGTCTAGTAAGAGATTAATGCTTTCCTCTATTTAGATGCTAAAATGCTCCCATTCTACTCTCACAGAAGTTCTGGAATTTAAGTGTCTACTGCCTCAGACTGCTAATCCATATTTTTCAATCTTCCTCCATAACCTTTATACAATGTAGAAGCAGTTTGGGAGTACTATCTGCACTCCCAGAACATCCTTGTGATGTAAGGGAGTACAGTGTTTTAACTTCATAGATAACAAACGCTGGTGGAGCATCCAGGCACTTCATTCCAAATAGCAAATGAGTTTCTGATAGCACTGACTGTGGGTGGAGGGCTGCAGCTAGCAGTGTACCTCAGCAATTAATCCAGTATTGATCAACACCATCTTTAACAATCTGGGTAATGGGGCCAAATGTGATCTCAGTAGGTTTGCTGATGACACAAACTGGGAGGACTGGATGTACCAGAGGGTCATGATGTCATCCCAGGGGACCCTGACAGGCTGCACAAATGGGCTGCCAGGAGCCTCACACAATTCACCACAGGGAAGTGGGAAGCCCCACACATGGGCTGTGCTAACCCCAAAATGCAGCGGGACCACTGGCACTGGCCTCTGGAAACCAGCTCCACAGGCCAGACCTGGGGAACCCCTGGACACCAACGTGAACAGGAGCCAGCAATGCACTCCATGGTGGGCAGGGATGTCCTGGGCTGCATTTGGAGGAGTGGTGCCAGGAGGAGGAGGGAGATCCTTCCCCTCTACTCAGCACTGGTGGGAGCACACCTGGAGTGCTGCATCCAGCTCTGGGCTACCCCTACACAGACATACTGGAGAAAGCAAGCAGGGCTCTGCAGCACAGATCACAGGGGGAAAGGCTGACAGCACTGGCAACATCCAGCCTACAGAAGAGAAGATTCAGGGGGAATCTCATCAATGGGCTCAAATTCCTGAAAAACACATGTTAAAATACAGAGTCAGGCTTCCTTCAGCAGTGCCCTGTGACAGGACAAGAGGTGATGGGCACAGGCAGAAACACAGAAGGTTTCATCTGAACATCAGGAAAGATTTTTTTCACTGTGAGGTTGACAGCGAAAGGGAGGTGGTCCAGGGAGGTTGTGGAGTTGAAACCTGATGCCTGGTTTCAACCATTACATTTCTGTCAATGTAATGACAGAAATTCATACAGTATCACTGTCAGGAGGTGTAAGAAGATGTAGGTAAAGCCAACAGTCTGAAATAAATATGGTATTTTGAATACAGTGTTTAACAACTCAACATTTCTTAAGGAAACAACTGTATTCCTCTTTGTGCTTCCTCCTCTCACTACAACTCCAACTTCCCAAAGTAAGTGAAGCAGCAGGAGGCAAAAATTAAAACCAATTATTTTCAATCAATTACTAGACTGATACAGAGTTAATTTCAAGATCATGAGAATACATTCTATCTGTTCACAGTTTCATTGTTACCACAAGAAACAATGTTTCTCTATTTAAGAAATTAGTTACAGTTTAAAAAAACCCCAGATATATGTACCTGTGGCTGAAATGGTGGAGCAGTAGGCCCCTGCATCCCTTGTGATTGTTCATCCATTCTATCACGCAACAATGTCCCTTATGTCCTGAAAAGAAAAATACAGTCATTACACTGTAATTCAGCCAGTATTTATGATTAATGAACATCAGCAGAAGAACAAAGGAATTCATCTTCTCAATTGTACTTCAGTTTAGGAACATTTAACTAGCTCTGCACTGTTTGGGGAAGAAGGTTTTCTTATATTTACCTGTTCAATGAAATTAAGTAAATTACTATAGGCACCTGATTTTTTTATTAATAATGTGAATTAAAACTACTTGCACCAAACAAATTACTCAGCTTGATAAAAGCTGCATCACCCCATTACTCCCCAGGGGCACCAACCACTTGCCTAACTATATAGATGTCTGACCTACAGGCAGCAGGGCAAATAGCAGATCAGCAGAAGAGTTACAACTGCAGCACACATACTGCAATGCATTGATTTATCTGTAGGTTTTAGGAAATATGCAAGAGTAGTTCCATCCAAACAGGGAAAAAAGCTACGTACACAGTACAATCTGACAAGCAAGTTAAGAGGCTTTTCGAATACCCTGTTAGAGCACAGACTCCATTCCCAACTGGGATCTTCTCATTTCCCATCAGGAAGATGGGAGGAAAGATGCCTGCCACATTCCCATGACAGACACACAAGGCTTTGACCAGTAATAAGAGTGCAACATGCACTGAACCATTAGCAGTAAAAACAGGAAAGACAAAAATGCAAATGCTCATAAGATTTTTTTTCCCCTCAACTAAGTGCATCCTTTCTTGGGCACCCCTGAGGGGGAGCATGCAGCAGCCAGTGTTACTGGTGCCTACTGATGTCCTGTTCACAGGAAGACAACACAAAAGTTCACTGGCAGCTTCGAAGTCAAACAATGAAATAAGCTTTCATACGAGTCAGAGGCAAGGCCTGAACATCTTTTTATCACAAAAAAAGGAAGTATCCCTGCCTATTACCCAGTCAAACCCGCCAAGGCCTTCAGAGGAACAAAAATCATGTGTCTGATAGGGATATTACCCTTGCTTTTCAATTTATTGTTTTCTTATTCTCTGCTCCAAATCCTGAATAAATGTTCTGGAGATAGACAGACATAAAACATATTTTCTGACACTGTTAAATGTTTAACATGAGGAAATTTCCTGTAATAAATTTATTCTGCTAAACCTATGTATTTCCACATACAAAGCTATTTCCACTCCACACAGATTCCTATAGCTGTTAAAACACATGCAAATCTTCCCAGTAATTCCTCTAGACTATTCAAAAGGCTAGAAATAACTCTCAACAGAAAGCAGAAAACCTTAGAAAAGCTTTTCAAAGGCAACTGCAAATATTCAAGAAGGTAATGAATGGTTTGTGCTCGCTGCACTGTTGCCACTCTTACAGCATTGTTGTGGTAAGATCACAAACAGACAAAAGAGTCACCGAGCAGCTCTGCAGTTTCTCGTGTGCTGTCCTTGTGTAGAAAGGGGTGGACAGCATACACAAACAAATCATTAGTGATCTGCTCTCCCTGGCCCATTGAAAGCAGTCACACACATGTCATCCCAGCTCCATCAGCAATTCCTGACACCAAACCACAGCCACACTCTAGAACAACCAAAGGTCCCTTTGCCTTTCCATCTATCATTTCCACACAGGCTGCAGCTTCCTGTTGTTCTGTATTACCTGTAACTGATTCAAAGACAAAGGAGACCCAGAAAAAGCAATTTCAGGCAGGTCAACAGAAAAGAAAAAAATCAATTATCAAACTACAGCGAGAAGCAGAGAAGAGGAGGTAGTAATTCCAAGATTTCCAAGACTGTCAGAATGACCATGCTGACAAAGGGAAGTCAGCTGCCAGAGCCAGTGCACACCACTGACCAGGCAATCCTTCAGCCAGCACTAGGACACCAATACCAACATCTTTTGCAACTTCTAAAACACCTCCCATGCAACCTGCCCTCAGAGGCAAGAAATCATAACACAACAGCACTGAAAATTAAACCATTGTTACAAAACTTCAGAATTTAGACTCTTCAGGTAGATTCACAGGGGTTGATGCAGTTGCAACAAATCCCAGGGGAGTAACAGCAAACTTAAGGAATCTTCTGTTAACTTCTTGTTGTAGTGTTCTTTCTATCATTCCTAAGAAGGCAATTTTTTTTCTGAAGTGCTATTTTGAAGAGTCTTTATATTAATTTAACTCTCTTCAATAGCATCAATATTTCTACTGAAGGTTTCACAGTGTTTCACTAATATGTTTCAATATTCAAAATTTTGACCACCAATAGGTAATCCCTATGGTCCAAACATTTGTTTCAAATTGCCAAGAAGTAAAAAAACCTTTACCCTCTATTGCAAAAGATTAATGAAACGCAAGCCGAAACTTTTAGATTATGTATGTTGATTCAAAATATATAACCCATTAATCTTGGCTGAATGGTCAGAAGCACTGACTGAGTGCTCAGAAATTTGTCCCTCTCTTTCCTTGTTAAATTTGAGAAAATATTAGAAATGGGAGAAGTCATATTACTACCACTGCCAGTCATCACTCTGCCCTCTGTGGCTTGTTTTTATAATAAAGCAAGCAAACAAAAGAGGAAAAACATTCTACCAACACAAAGCATGGAAGATTTATTAACTCTTGGATTTGTTTTCCTTTTGCTGAAAGACAAAGATAATTATTTTATGTCCATATATGAAAGTTACTTTAATTTTTCGTCTTTGAAGAAGGCATGATAGATTCAGATTTTTGAGAATTGTGGTGTTTTGATCGTACAAAATCACAAAGATGCAAAGATTGCCAAGGATGCAAAGTAAATCTTTTGTACTATAAAACACAATATAAGTAAGAATTGGATTTCGTTGCTTGAAGACTGTTTTCACTGTCAGGCATGTCTTTTGCCTTAATATTAACTCCAGAAGTCAAAACACAGTGCTGTAATATTGTTCATCTTTAAATTTCAATTGAGCCAATAATTTTGTCTCTTCCAAAGATGGTTTTCAAGTTCTAATTTACAGTGACAAGACACTAAAAATACCCCAAAGAGTCCATGCCTGTTTAAAATTGAAATGCAAATGCAAAACACACTATTTATAACATGTCTGTCACCTCTTTAAAGAAGTAACACAGGGACCACCTTCTGCAAATCCATCACCCTGAAAAAGGTTCACAGAAAAGAAGCAACAGGTGAGGGGAGGCGAGGCAAGTCAACGACAATAGCACCCCCAAAATCTCCAAATGCAACTGATGTTTTTCAATGCTCTCAAGCCAATCACATGGGGAGGGAAGGACTCCTCGCCTCCACCATACCCCCTGCCAAAAAAAGGAACTTTCTAAATCATCTATCTTGCAAACATGATGTTTACCATTTTGATGATGAAGATCATTTGGATGTAGACAAGCTGCACAGAATATGGATCACAGGAACACAGGCATATACACTAAATCTTATACTCTGGTTATGGCTGCTAACACTTTACAATTATAGTTAATACTTCTGGTTAATTACTAATATTTTAAATCTTTGACTTTTCAGTTGATCAAAACAGTAGTTGGCACCTACACATAAAGGATGCAGAGTGAAGTTCCTGGGGATACAGACAACAGGACCAATTTTTCACTTGAAATCACAAGGGCACAGCAACTCCTCTAACTCCACAAGGCAGAAAAGGAGCCCTCACCAGTGAGTCAGACCATCAAACCCCGAGTGCCTGAAATGGGAGGAACACCTTTTCCTTCCCTCCCAAACAGGCCTCGCTGTCCTCATGCACTTCCCCAGCGGGCACCTGTCAGAGCTCTGGCTCTCTGCCCACCCCTCTGAAGATCACACCGACACAAAGCAGCCCGAGAGGCGAGGGCGCGCTGCCACACGCCAAGCTCCCGTCCCACAGGCAGCGTTCAGTTTTCCAGGTGGTTTCCAGCAGCCTGCCAGGGGAGAGGCAGGACTACCCACGGCTCTCAGTGCAGTCAGAGCAGAGGAGCCACTCCTGAACAGGAGCCAGAGCTCATCGCTTCCATTTCACCCAAATGTATTCTAAAATAATATTTTTTAAAAAAAAACTAGGAAAAACTTGAAATCCTTGTGACTTAAGTCTAGCAACTACATCTTTAAAAACATGATCAGACTATTCCAGGAGAAAAAGATTAAATGCACTGCTTAATCACATGAAACATGCTTTTTAAGAACTAGTTTCATAGCTCCAAGTCCATAAAGCATTCACACTGAATTCGCACGGTATTTAGGCAAAAATGTTATTGCTTTAACAGATGGCAGTTCTTCAACAACAAAAAAAATACGTTTTCCTGTAGAAAACATCATTAATAGTCTCAATATACATGGTTTCCATTAGCTACTTGCTATGCACTTGTTTGTCAATTTTGCATCTTAAGTGAGAACATACAGTAATCAATGTCAAAGCAGAAACAGCTATCCTTTAGGAAAAGAGCATATACTTAAATGAATGCTCAGAATGTTACAGTTCTGCTGAGAATCTGAGATGCTCAGCCTTCTTTTTTTTCTGCAAAATACTGCTGTAACTACTCCACATAATTGCTTACACAGAGAAACACAGAGTTGCACTGGTTCAGGATGTGCTGATCAGGGACACAGTCAATTTGGCTGTTCTTAAAGAATGGAATGTACTATGTTTACTTCTGGATTACACCACCAATTAAGGCAGATATTTTCAGTTTTCACTATAACCATTATTTTAGTTAAGTTAGAGACAAGGCTCTTCAGGAACAACTATTTTTTGTAAATAATTTTCTTGTAAATTTTGTACAAAGTTAGATTCTTCAGTATCTAACATGGATTTAAAATGAAAAAATTTAGATCAACAAACTTCTCATATTTACTAAATTTAAAGATAAGGATCAGTCTCAGCTGAGGGGTGGGGTCAGAAAAGCCAACAACACAAATCTTCCATGTAAGAATACAAGCTTAAGAAGTATTCCCATTTGCTTATATCACATGTTGAGTCTCAGCTACCGAAATGCACAGTTTAAACATAGGTAGAACATTCAAACAGTCCCCCTGGTTGAACCTAAAAAAAGCAGAGTGCTGTGGAAACAAGGGCTTAGATTTCCAAGTGCCTTCCTGAATACCCACCGCAGCAGTGCTAATCCCAGCAGTGTGTGCCAGGGAGCCCAGTGCCAGCCCGACTCCAGCCCTGCTCTCTGTCACCTGCAGTCACACTGACATCACCTCTCAGAGCCAAAGCCACAGACCTCGCAGAGGAGACCAATTTCACACCCAGCAGTAACAGCGTGGCCCTTCAGCTCTATGTGGGCACAGTAAAAATCAGCCACAGCACTGGTTTATAAGGCAGACTGTCTTAAGTCATTCTCCACCTCTTTAAGGCAAAAACTTGGCCACTGGAGGGAACTGGCTTGGTGGTCAAACTCAGCCCACACTTTGTCAGGTCATCAACACTGATCAACACTCTTCAGTGTTGACTGCCCACATTGCCCACTCAATGCTGGCATCTCGGGGCAGGCTGTAGCTTATAATGCTTATATTTACATATATTTTATATGCATGCATTAATAATGCAAAATGCATTTAAACTGACACCCACTTGAAGTTTGTCTGCCAAGACTAACTGACAAGGGACAAAGCAGCCTCAGTACTGGAGACCAAGCTAACCATTATCACAATAGAATGTCACACATCCCTATTAGTATACACACACATATATAAACATTATATATATGCATATTAATATATATATGAGCACATGTCTGTACACAGATTATGTACCTATACCTAACTATGTACATACAGAGAATATTTCATTTTTACCACTGACAGCTAATAGCAAATATTTGCTTCAAATTGTCCAAAAAACTCAAAATGTCTTCTAAAGTGCGGAAACCACATACCCATTCAGCAAATTCTCTGCAGAAGCATCCACATCAGAGAGAAGCTGCATACACAACTTTAAATTACTGAAAGTGATTCAGTATAGATCTATATACAGCTATATTCAGAAGGATTAGTTTTCATTTTAGAAGCAGTTTCTAAAATCCAGATCAATACTCCCCACAGGATGCCAAGCCACTCCTTCCCTCTGCAGGGACAGCCTAGAATCTGAACAATACAAATTCCCAGCAGTTGGGAAAATAAAGGTAAATATTAACTATCCAATTGGAAATACTGCATTTTTCAGCAAACTTATGTCCAAATTCTGTACTCATGGGAAGTCCAGTCAAAGCAACCAAAAAATAGACAGTTAATCTGGGGTCAAAGTTGGTTTTAGCAAGAGCAGGAGCAGCCACACACAAATAACCCTTTTGGAAGAAAGGGAATACACTAAGAGTTCATACGCAATTTTCTCATCCATTTGGCCCGACTCACCAGGCTTATTTTCACTCCAACCCTGAAAACACACATGCCACTCACTGTCATTCTCCAGCTACTAAGAGTTTGCTCTGCCAATGCTGTCTGACTAGAAGATAAAAGTCAAAGCTCTCCTGCTTCTCAAGTCTGCTTCCATTCCTCTTCATTTGCACAATTTAGAAAGTTCGTTTGTTTACTTCTCCCTCTCCATGTCAGTTATGTCACTCAAGTAAATTGCTTATCTTGCAAGGTGCTCCCAAAGGGTTATACATGCACTGACTTGCCCTTTATTGAACTGTTTGTTATTTCTTATGAACTGAAAAAGAAACAGGAACTGAAACTGCTTGAGCAGCAAGCTTGTACATTTTTCATTTAGTTTCTATTCACCTGAAAGAAACTTGATAACCCATTTCTTCATACTCAATAGTCAATTATAAAGGGCATAGGTAGATTACAATAATGTCACAGTGAAAAATATTGCAGGGAACAATGCACTGTATTTAACCATGATACCATCTAGAAAGCAAAGCCTCAGCCCACAGCACACCAGGCTGTGCTCCTGCGTCTGTAAGCGAGCAGCTCTAAGACAGGGTGAACAGATGATGTGATGCTGCCCCTTCCCCTGCCTTCAGCCATGACTCCCAAACCCTCTTCCTTCCAGTGGGACTGCTGTGGCTAGCCAGACTCCTGGTAAGCAAAGTGAAACTAGCTGAAAACTAACCCTGACAAACTCACTTTTTGCCACTTCAGTTCCACTGCAGACCCAAGGACAGAACCGTGATGGCAAAAGACAGAGTGGAAGATACAGGACTGCTCTAGCCCCAGCTAACTCAGATCAGTTGAATCTACTGCCAAATTGCATCTCTAACATGAAATTACACAAGTCAATCTAATGGCTCAGTAACACCAAAGATCTTTCTTTCTCTCACTTTCTCTCCCACACAATCCCACATTGCCATCTTGACCTCTCTGGCCCTGTTGCCAAGCTGATCCAACTCCCTGGTGCAGCTGGGCTTCTGCCCTACAAGCAGAGAGCAGAACCAGCACGTGGGGCACTCTGCTGAGCACCAGAGAAAAAAGTAAGAAGGGGAAATCCAGGGATAGGAGATGTAGGAAAGGGACTGTAGAAGAAACAGAACATCTTCTCTCTGGAAACAAGTGTGCTAGTAAGTTAGCTCACCACATTTTACTGTGCTTCGTCCTCAGTAGGGAGGTGAACAAGCACTCCAAAAAGCTGCAACAGCAAGGCAAGCACCACAACAGAGAAGGCAATTCACTCAACACCAACACAAGAGTTTTGTCAACAAAATACTGTATGGGAAAGCAGAACTAGGAAAGAAAATAAACAGAAGGAACATAAATAAGAATAACAAGTTAACCTGGAAAAAGGAAAAGAAACCAAAAGGAGAAAAAAACCCCAAAAACTAAAGATGCTCAGATAAAGGAAGCTAAAACATAATTTAGAAACCCTTACAGGTGCAAAACCTCACAGCTCTCACAGAGAGGGAGTCCTAATGAAGGCATGACTTTAAATGAACCTATATAAGCAAATTATTCATAAAGAGATGCCGAAGGGACTTCACTAAAAGTGTAAACAGCTGATCTTAACACAAGAGTTAAAAACACAAGACAAATGAAAAGACTGGAAGCACTGTCAGCTGAACCCATTATGGCTAAGCACAGGAAAAATACATCCCAGTTAGAAGACTGGGTGGACACAACTGTGCAACAACTCTGGCTGACAATGTCCATGTTGCTACAGGTGGAGTAGAACACATATAACAATAAATTCCACACAGTCCTCAAAGAAATGTCTCAGTATCTTAGAAAGCAGTGCAAGACATCCTACTGCAGGCATGAGATGCACATTCTCAAGCTGAAAAAAATAATCTGTAATATCTAGTTTAAAATCTGCTACCCCGATGTTAAAATGAATGAAGCATTATAAAGAATCAGAAAAGGAACACCAACCACATTTAACAGGCTGCCTGTGAGCCTCTGAGCAGCATTACCCTTGACTCCTGAAAGCAGCAAGTAATCCAGGATCCCTGGGTCCAGAAGCAAGGCAGGCAGCAGCCAGCACACTCACTTCAGAGGCAAGCCAACACTCCAGCTGCTTCTGTTTTACATTAAAGCACCACTGTGTAAAAGATGCAAGATCCACGTGTGGCTGTGGAGCACCCTCAATGACCAGCAGTACGTCTGACACTGTCTGCAGGCTGCTCCTCAAGTCCTGCAGGGCTCTGCAAAGCTCACACACAGCCCACGTACCCAACACACAGTTCTGAATTTCAGTCAGGGCAAGGACTGGAAGTTCACTGCTGCAAAGACAACTCCTTTTTTGGATTTGCTCTCAGATGAGGACAAAAAGGGTACAGAAGAAGGGCCTCTACAGGGCAGGAGGCTATGTGTTTTCCCACCACAAGTTTTTACTTATTTTTAGAAGTAACTTTAAGTTCACCTGTGATACTTTTGCCTTCCAGCTATCAAAGAATCTGTAATTTTGTAAACTCTGTACTCTAACTGCAAAAAAATGGAAATTAACTGAAAAAGACTGGTTCATCAATACTTCACAGCACCTAATTCACATATCTCCCAAAGGCTTCAGCAACAATCTAATCTACAAGCTCTACATCAACTTTTATGACATTGTAAAATAATTCATCTGGTCCAACATAAATACAGCCATTAAATAAGACAGCAATAACTTTGCTATAAATCATTCCAAGCAGCTTGAAGAGGCTTGAATGCAGACTCTCAAATGCCACATGATGCAAACAGTCTATTTACTTTGCCACCTCTAATCCAAAACAAAATATCACTAATATCACAGGATTAACTATGTGCAATCAGGTTTTAACATGATTGTTCACAGGATTTTCTTACAAATTCCTCTTTTTAATGTGTTGCTTAAAATTTTGTAACAAATTCCCTTGCATAAATAAGAGCTATACACCCAACAGGTTACAATGGCACTTGAAATACTGCACATTTTCTTGCTACAAAAATCACAACTGAATCACAGATTTGTTTTACATGCCTGAGACAAATGCACAGGAGTCTCTTCACCAAAGAAGCAACTCATTTTCACAGCACTGCCTCTCTGCAGCTTTTTAAACTAACGTGACAGGAAGAATCACTTTAACACTTATTAGGGAAACAAAAAGTGATATTATGTACTTCAGACTAGGGCTCAGTTCCTTCCCATGTGGCTAGGGATGTGAAATGGTGATAAATACAGCAAATCAGTGTTCTAAAGGCTGCCCGTATCACCACTTTGGTATTTTGGTCAGTTATTTTCATCTCATTTGCAAAGCACATGGAACGCAGATAAACTGAACAAATTCTCTGGAAATTAGTCAGTTAACTCCTAAAACTATCCATAGTACTAACCTTCACAGGATAATCCCATCATCTCCTAAATCCTAAACCAGAAGGGATTTTCAGATAAACACCAAATCACAAAAAACAAAAAACAAAAAAAAAAAAAAAAAAAAAAAAACCAAAAAAAAAAAAAATCCCTTGGAGGAAGAGAAGTTAGTGCAGATGGACCTTCTCTAGGGGACTTTCCAATGTAAGGTGAACTCAACCAAGCACCCAGCACAGATGTTTGGAACAATATCAAACTTCAGAGGGCAGCAAGGCACTGATAGTGATAAGCTGAATTTAGCATCAGTATAACTGCAGAGAGTACTGCACTAAGTTTATTACACATGGGGGGGTGTATTTATGAACAAACTGCCTCAGCAAACTGTGCACAAATACACAGGACTGACGATGCTTTGTGCAACTGAGCTCACACAGGGGCTTATGTGGCTCTGTCTTACAATCCAGAAGATATCACAGGTCACAGTAAAATGAGCAACTGACTTCCTGCACTCTGGTTTTCATCTGACTTTCTCATTTGCTCACAGGCCTTCTTATGAGCTCTAAATGTTAGATTTTTTTTCTTCTTTTGAAACAAGCTTCCATGGTGAGGATGGGAATCTACTTATCTAACTCATGTACACCCTGGAAGATGCTGTGATAAGTACATCAAAAAAAGATTTTTGTTTGAATAAAATAATCTCAATTTATTTTTTTTACTGCCACGACTAACTAGTATGTTGAATAAAAAATACCTAAGACAAAGGCAGTATCTCCATCCTTACAGTGAACAACCTCTAAGTGTGCTCTGACAAGCCATCTACCCAAACATCAGGTATTTCTAAATAAAGTATCTTCATGTTTTCAAATTAAAGAACAAGTGCTCTTAATATTATTCTTAGTATCAAAACATTTAAAAATAACAAACATGGCTTTAAGTTCTTACTTTAAAGCTGCCGACTTGTTTGTAAGTTTCGCTCTTTCCACCACAGTTTTCCTTCCTCTGCCTAAGTTTTCCACAGGCCATGAACTAATGACTGTTTTCCATGGCATTTCATCTCTCTCAAGACAGTGCAAGTCTGTAGTTTAAACAGACATTTCTACAGCACTGCAACACTTCAGTTCTCTCCTAAACTGCCTAGGGAAAAAAAATCCAAACTTTTAAATTTCATTCCTCTTGATTGAGCCAATCTGTGACTCTAACCATGTAATCTAACAATCCAAAGAGTGTATTTTATGCAATTTCTGCATCTCAGGCTTGTAATACAACTTTATATAGGAAATACATCCAGTACATTCCACGAAATTACTGTGCACAATGTGACCCTTCCTGAGAGGCGATGCCACTATTGCAATCTGAGAAAACAACTCTATCACTTCAAAAGGTGACAAAAGTTACCATTCAGTTGGTGCAAGAAGGGGAAAAACATTTAGAAAGTTTTAATCTAATATCAATAATTAAGTATTTGTGTGATTACTGAACACACATCCCCTCATCATATTTTATCAGAAGTAGGGTGATTAAGTAGTTTTACCATCCCCCTCAGAAAATGCCCCTCAAAAAATGCAGAGCAAACCAAAGCACACCGCACTCGAAGAAGCGCGTTCTGAACCCTGAAACTCGGCAGGATCAGCTCACACGAACACCGAAAGGAACTCGGGGCCGGTACCGGGATAACTGGGTAGGCTGAAGGGGACACTCACTCCCCAGACGGAGAATGCCTCACTCCCAGCGTGTGCCACCAGGCCCCAGCTCTCCCCGGGCCCCGGCCGGCAGCCCCGGTGTTCTCCCGGGGAGGCGCGGGGCAGCGGCCGCCGGACCCGCCGGGACGGGGCTGCTCCCCGTCACAGCCGCAGGGCCGCGGCTGCCGGGGACAGCGCCGCTGTCACCCGCTGCCGTGTGACACCCAGGCTGGGCTGTCCCGGGAGCATCTGCCCGACACCCACTCCCAAGCGAGAGGAGGGCACGGGAGCTTGGAGAAAACCACAGGAAAGTGACGAGAAACACCAAGGAAAGCAGCTCCGCCTGCGGCAGGCACGCCAGAGGCACGGGGGCCGGCCGGGCCGCAGGCAGGCTGGGGCCGGAGGTGGCGAGGCCGCCGGGCAGGGTCCCCAGCCGCCCGCTCCTCTAGCGGAGGCGGCGCGGCAGCCGCCACCGGGCGAAACACCACACACGCCGGCACACGGCGGCCCGGCGCCCCTCCGGCCGTGGGGCAGGTGCCGGTGTCCGGGAAGCGGCGCAGCCCGCGGCCGTCCCGCCCCAGCGCCGCGCACAAACTTTCTCGCTCCGGCCCCGCGCCGCTCCCTCCCCGTGCGGCGGGCGGAGCGGCAGCCGCCGCGGCCAATGGGGA